GCCCGGCGGCCTTCGGCGTGGCCTGAGGCATCCGTGGGGATCATCCCTGCAGCCTTCGGGACGGCAGAACGGCGACTGGGACCCCGCATAACATCGGAAAGCTGCAGGCAGTCAGTGCGCATTTACCAGTCCTCGAATATGTGCGTTTGTCTTTAGTCATTTGCACGCATATGTAATAGTGGGTGCGATGTGCGTGTTAACCAGGAGATCTTTATATTGCCGATGTCAATATTTTTTATCTAAATAGCATCAACTGGTATAGTTACCGGTGATCGACCACGTGTCAAGGTCATATCAAGCTGCATTTTCAGTCTTCCGCTACTTGAAAAAGAGAATGTACAAAACTTGTGTCCAAAGGTATCCATAACATTACGATTGTGCTATTTCAGCACAATTTGCCCCGACCTTGCCATGAGTCATTGGTTGAAAACTTTTTTTTTGGAAATGTTCCCCAGCATCCGATGTGGAGCGTGCTAACGGCCAGCCAACGGTTCCTACAGCATGCAACAGGATGGTCGTGCGGGTAATGTTTTGACACCCTTGCTACGTCTGGAACTCGCTATACCCAATATGTACTTAGGTTTGAAGTCCCTATTTTGACACCCTTGCTACCTCTGGAACTCGTTATATCCAATATATACTTACGTTTGAAGTCCCTATTTTGACACCCTTGTGATGTCTGGAACTCGCTATATCCAATTTGTACTTAGGTTTGAAGTCCCCATTTCTATGTTTGTGACATTGGTTACCTATAAAATGGTTCATTATTTCTTGACACGTATTGTAACACATTTCCAAACCCATTGCTAGGTTGTAACACATTCCATATACGAGCATAATTAGTGGTTTCTGTTCAAAACCTACCGCCAACATGCCCCTACATAATTGGGTTTTGATGCTGGTGACACGTCTGGAAGAGAATGTGACAGATATTTTGGTAGGACGAATACCAAAGGAATGCTGAAAAACAACTTTAAAATTAAATCCTCACAAAGCCTATACTGGCGCCCTACCCGGGACCACTCAACGCCGAGGTGTGTGTGGCCTTGCAAAACTATGACATGGTCAGATGTCGCATGGGCCTGCTTTTTCCGAGGCGACGACCTATGTTTTGGAGTGACTCGAGCCGCCGCCAACTGCCAGCCGTTCACTGCGAGTCCGGCATCGGACTCGCGTGGTGGCTGCGTGTGAGGGATTGGGCTATGGCGGGAGCGGTGCCACATGGGCACCTTCAGTTTTGTAGGTCGCTAACACAACAAATCAGGATGTAGGAGCCTGGCTATTTTGCACGCAGTACATGCGGTGATGTGAGCCATCGGTACACGCAGTACATGGGGTGATGTGAGCCATCGGTACACGCAATACATGCGGTGATGTGAGCCATCGGTACACGCAATACATGCGGTGATGTGAGCCATCGGTACACGCAGTACATGGGGTGATGTGAGCCATCGGTACACGCAGTACATGGGGTGATGGGAGCCATCGGTACACGCAGTACATGGGGTGATGTGAGCCATCGGTACACGCAGTACATGGGGTGATGTGAGCCATCGGTACACGCAATACATGCGGTGATGTGAGCCATCGGTACACGCAGTACATGCGGTGATGTGAGCCATCGGTACACGCAATACATGCGGTGATGTGAGCCATCGGTACACGCAGTACATGGGGTGATGTGAGCCATCGGTACACGCAGTACATGGGGTGATGTGAGTCATCGATGCATACAGTGCATGCAGTGATGTGAGCCATCAGTGCACGCCGAACACAGCTGCCGATGGTTGGGTTTGCCGATGATGCATGTCCTAAAAACGACCTGGCATTTTCCCACGTCACGTCATTCTGTCCATAGGGCATGTGCCAATTAAGCTGTTCGGTTTTAAAGTAAATATTTGAGCTAGAAATACACCTCGGTGTTCATCTCGCAGATGAAAAGTTTATACCAACTACCATTACGGTAAACCCCTCCTAAACAAATTGCTTAAAGATGATGACTGCTGCAACGGTATACCTATCCAAATTCCAATAATGAACAGAGATCAAACTCTTGAAAAATACAAATGGGTCGGTGGTATCTCACCGATCTGTTGGGAAAAGTGCACCTTCGTATGCATCGCCATCGCAAAATGTCACTAGCAGATAAGCAAATAAAGCGATTTCTCGTTTAGCCCATGAGTCCCATAATGCTCCGTTTCCTATACAATCTGGGTTGCAAAGTCAGGCATACGTAAATTCCACGCCTCCATGAATGATAACCTCAAGAACCCATTGGCCGTTACAATCTGGAGAGCGGTGCGATTGCGGTGTCGTCGCTTGGTTACTTGCTAGATCACTTCCGCTCGAGTCTGAGAAGCTGTGGTCTAATGCGTAATTCCAAATGTCATGTAACGTCCGCCATTGGCACGAGCTGTGCCGCCGCAGTGACACAGGATCAACGGGTTCACAGGTGGCACTGCTCCAAACACGACCATTCACAAACGGCGCCAATGTAACTCAGAGCACTCTTTACGAACTACTGCAGCGAACTAAACACCCGCACGAGCGGTGATCGTGGCAGTCATCGGTCATCAGCCACCACCGCGTGCTGACGCATCAGGCCGGACTCGGCCACCGCCGCGTGCTGACGCACCAGGCCGGACTCGGCCACCGCCGCGTGCTGACGCACCAGGCCGGACTCGGCCACCGCCGCGTGCTGACGCACCAGGCCGGACTCGGCCACCGCCGCGTGCTGACGCACCAGGCCGGACTCGGCCACCACCGCGTGCTGACGCACCAGGCCGGACTCGGCCACCGCCGCGTCGTCGTCACCCGTCGCCAGCAGCCGCCGGCCGCCCCCTATGTAAAGCGGACGGGCGGCGCGGCCAGCCGGGAGGGACCGGAAGCGATGACTTTGTTTATCAGCCGGCGCGCAGTCCGATCCAATATTCAGAGGATCCGGTTAGCTGGAGGGGCGTGTATGATTGATGGCGCGGCAGACCGGAGCCAAACTTCCGCAGCGGCCATCGCCAGGCCCCGAAACTCACGTTCAATGTGCGCGCCAATTTGTTGCCTGCTAGCGGTAGTTTGGCCGCTCACAGCTCACGACGACAGAGAACAGACACGGCGCGTGCTGTCCGCTGCACCCTCCGACGGTTGTCCAGTAATTCCCTCTGGTGGCTGCCGATCAGTTGAGTCTTCGGGTACGCATGTCTGACGTACTCGAGCAGTCGGCTGCCGTAGATCGTAAGGCATTATTGAAAAGATAAGAATATCTCACTTGCCGAGGTTCAGTTTCATTGTGCATGACAACACGTGGTGGTGATGTGGTCTTTCCATCTCCGTTGCTTTATTGGTGCGATGTATTTCATTATCACTCACGATCACGCACTGGTTAACCGAAACAAGCAGCACGATTGGTGCAAAGTGGTGCGTTTTGCCGTGATTTTCTTGTGAAATAGCCCGGCATGGAGGCATCTGCACGCCGTGTTGGCGGCGACCCTGCCTGCGGCTATATTTCTAGCACTTTACCTGCAGGGAACAACCGTCCGCAGCTGTCAACAACAACTGAACGACCGGCAGTCAGCAGCTGTCGACGATAACTGAACGACTGACGGTCAACAGCTGTCAACAACTGAACGACTCTCAGTCGCCGGCTTACCTGATCACGGTGTCGCAGCCGCTGTCGTTTCGACATGCAAGCCATTGCGCGCGAGACACACGCATTATGCCCATACATCACAAAAGCATCGCATCTGATCCACACGAGACCTGCTAAATTCACAAACAACGACCTCCAACCCGAACACAACGACCGAGGGCAGTGAAACACGCGGTCCGAACTCTGTCCTAATGGCGAGAGCGGGCGGCTGCAGACAGCTGGTCGGTGGGCGGCCACTCTCAGCGCTCCGCGCCGCCGCCTCAGCACCCTTTATCCGGCATTCGGCGGCCGCTGCCGCCACTCGTCGTTCCGTCCGCAGCTCGGCCGGCGCGGCCGGCGCGCGGCTCGGAGCCCGTATCAGCGCGTCGAGGGCCCCTCTCCGGGTGCTCACGCCGAGAGGGGTACACAAATTACGGCCGTATCGCCACTAATGGCGGCGCGCGCGCGCCGCGGCCCTGTTTACATGGCGGCTCAAATGAAGCGGAGCCGGAGAGGCCGTGGCGCGCGCGCGGGTCGGCCGGGACCGACTCCGACAGCCGGGCCCGGCGCCGGGCGACGGTGAGCGATGGCGCGGCTGAGGCGGCGGCGACGGGGTGTGGGTGTGAGGGGTGACGCCGGGATGGTAGATGGACGCGGCTGTCAGGCACGCCCATCTGTCGGGAGAGAGGGGGAGGACGCCCACGCAGATCCCGTTTGCCGCGCTGAGAATTCCCTCGCCTCTGCCGCGCGGTGCCTGGCAGATCATCTCGGCCGTAATGATCGGGGCAACGGTTCTATGTCAGTCCATCGACACACCAAATGCAATGAGTTCTCAATCTGTCCTCACTGAGCACTGAATGCTACAAGCTCTTCCTTCCCACCCGCTCCCCATGTCATGGCCGCGGCCCTGAGGATGTTCAGTGGGTTTCAGGTGCCCACCGAGCAGGAAATCTGCGCTGCCGTGCAGCTGGCTGTAAAGACAGCGCCTTGACGGTGGCAGACCTCGCTAATAAGTCTGATGAGAAATCAGGGTTGTGGCCCGGGGAGGAGCGCGCCACCGGCCCGAGGGCAAATGTCGTGCCCCCGGCTAATGAGCGCCAACGAACCGAGCGGCCCGCGCGATTGACGGCGTGCGTCAGGTCCGGCCGTCGGCCCGACGTGCGTGCTCATCAGCGGTGGGCGACCCAGCTCGGTCGTCCTCGTCAGAACCGGGGTACTCGGCCCTGTCTTTCTCGCCAGAGCCGGGTTGCTCGGCTCTGTCGTTCTCGTGAGAGGCGGGTTACTCGGCCCTGTCGTTCTCGCCAGAGCCGGGGTACTCGGCCCTGTCGTTCTTGCCAGAGCCGGGGTACTCGGCTCTGTCGTCCTCGTCAGAGGCGGGTTACTTGGTCAGGTCGTCCTCGTCAGAGCCGGGGTACTCGGCCCTGTCGGTCTCGCTAGGGGCGGGGTACTCGGCCCTGTCGTTCTCGTCATATCCGGGGAACTCGGCCTTGTCGGTCTCGTCCGGTGAGGCGAGGTACTCTGTCCTGTGATGCTCATCAGAGGCGAGATCTCGGCCCTGTGGCGTTTCATCAGGTGTGAGGTGTTCGGTCCTGTAGTGCTCATCAGCTAGCAGATGCTTGGCCTGCTGTCCCCATCAGAGCCAAGGCATCAGCCCTGGCGTCCTCATCGGACACGAAATCTCGGTCCTGCGTCTCATCAGAAACCATAAACCTCGTCATGTTTTCCTCATAACGTGCGGAGGTGGCGCTCCGCTTACTCCTCATCACGAGCGCTGCTTCGCCTGTCCGTTCTCAGCAGATGAGCCTCACGTGTCCGTCTTGATCAGGGGAGCTCCGTCTGCGAGTTCTCATTGCTTACTAAGTGAGATGCTCCACCCGTCGTTCTCATCAGAGGCCGTGTGCTGCGTGTCCGGCTAAAAGCCTGCGTTCTTAACACGTACGATTAACAATTAAATACCCCAGGCACACGCGAGGGCTGAGCCGTTGGTGCTTCCCTGTTGCAACTCTAAGCGAGTGAAATTATCTCTCCCCGAGCGAGAGACCGCCGAGACTGGTAGAGATGCGTTGCGCCATAGATTGCCGCACTCATCTGCAGGCGGTTAAAATGACCGGCGTTAGCATCGCGTACAAATGAAATGTTTAAAGAATAAACACATGACCGCAATAAATCGTCTTCATTGATACTCGGTGCATATGATTTATGAGTCACAACTTTCTAAGCGTAATATTCCGCCCGGAACATGTTTGACGATTCGTTTTCCGGTGGAATCCATATGGGACCTGCTACAAACATACGAGCGCATAACCTCCGTTATCGCTTTAATATGCGTTCAAAATCGCTGCGGCAAATCACTACCGCGCCATTTAAGCTGTTGCCCTAAAGGCATGATGTGAATAAACCAAATTATTTTGAGCAAAGTCGCAAACATCGTGCCACATGTCGGCGAGGATCCTGACGGCGCATTGTACATTTGTAATGAGAGCGACAGCGAGCACAGCATATCAGAGAGTAGCGGGCTGAAACCGGGTCCCGGGCCGCCGCCGGGGGCTGATTCGCACCTCCCAGCGGCGCCAGCGGAGTGCCGCACCCTGTGTATCGGCCGGCTGCTAGAGCTGTCACCTCTCTGAAAGGCGGCCTGTCCCTGGTGACAGGCGGAGACGGCGGCCGGGTCGCGCGTTCCCAGACGCTCTGAGAATTGTCCAGACGTCCAGGTTCGATTGGCCCCCTTTCAGCGCCGCACCCACCCTGTGTCCAGCCGTCGGCTGCTCCCGGCACGACGCCGGCACACACCAACGCCAACTCCAGTACCGACCAGCACTGAGCAGTAGCGGCAGCAGCACCGCCACTTGTCCAGCACCAGCGTCGGCAGTTCACAGGAGCGGCTCGGCCGGCAGAGCGGCGCTGGCGCGCTGGCTATAGCCTGGGACCGGCGGCACGTCGTACCGTCGCACCGTCGCACCGTCGCACATCACACGTCGCACCTTCACACCGTCGCACGTCGCAATGTCGCACGTCGCACCGGCAGGCCTATGGTGAAGCTGGCTCCGCCGTCAGCTGGCCGGGTACGGCCGGATGCGGGGGTGGACGCGGCGTCAGACCTTGGCCAAGTATTGGATCGCAAAGCCCGGCGTCAGAAAGGTCAGGAATTGCTGTCGTTTCACGTCGGCCTGGGCCAGCAGCGGTGATGCGAAAAATGCCACGGATCGTGCCTTTATTTAACTCATTTAAGTTGGCCTGGCGTCAAGAACATTTAAACTGAGTTACGGATAGGCGTAGTTGTCGGCATGTTTTTGGAAGGTCCAAAATAGGGCACAGAGTACATTGGGGCAGATGTAACTAGCGGGATGGGTTACATGACCAGGCCTGCGTTACGACGGACATTAACGACGGTGGTGGACGCAAGAGGCAGGGGTGCCTGTGATGGCGACAGCCGCACTCTAGAGCCTACAGCCGACGTTCCCAGACATTCAATACAGCCAAAAGCAGCCAGCTAAGCAGGCGAGGGAGGTCCGCTGCCAGCCGGTTCATGTGCACCTGTGTGCCTGACCCCGGAGCTGGCGTAATTTGGACGAGCATTGTGGCCGCGGTCTGCCTCCAACAAAGGCCGGAGTCGGCCAATGGCCCCCGGCAGCTTTAACACAAGTGTTGTGCTACCTAATGGAGGGGCATGACTGGCATGTGTATACACCGCGCGGCCCACCGGCCTGCCCCCCCCCCCCCCCCCCCCCCCCACCGAGCCGCCGTCGCGCCGCATGGCGCCGGACGTGCCGCCGACGCACGCGCGAAACGAAACGTAGCGAAACGTCCCTGTGACGTTGTCGTTGGATGTCGTGCGTCGTGTATGCGTGATAGCATCGAGCGATGTGGTATGCGGAGAGCGATGCGGTATGCTGAGAGGCTATGGCGCTGCTCGGGAGAGACCAGCGCCCAGCAGGCCGCCACGGCGCGCCGGCCGGGCGCTGCTCGGAGGAGACCAGCGCCCAGCAGGCCGCCACGGCGCGCCGGCCGGGCGCTGCTCGGGAGAGACCAGCGCCCAGCGGGCTGCTACGGCGCGCCGGCCGAGCGCTGCTCGGAAGAGACCAGCGCCCAGCAGGCTGCCACGGCGCGCCGGCCGCCGCCGGGATGAACAGTGTCGCCTCGGGGAGTCGTCCAGGGGTGCTCCGTCACTCAGCCCGCCTGCTGCCGCTGTCCGGGGAGCGGAGCGCCAGCTGACGGCCGGCACCGGCAGATGTCATTACAGGGCGGGGTGTCGCCGGGGCCGGTGGTGCGCGGGGCACGCACCGGCGGCGACAGCACGCCACCGCCCGCGGACACGCAATCCTGGCCGCATTCGGAGCAGGTGCAGCTGCATCGCAGACGGCGCATTCAGAGTGCTCATTCTTCACGCTAAGTTTGTGGTACGGTATTTGATGGCGCTGGATACGAATGAATGCCGTTTTTTTCTCATCGCCACCTATGAAAAGGTCACCAGGAGTGTTTTTCACTATCCCAGTGACGTACAGAAACATGCGTAACACAAGAGATGACAAAGGCACACCCTGCTTAAAACTGGAAAAACTTAGCAAACAAAAAGAAACTAAGAAAGAACGAGCTCGTGAGAACAACAGGTAATATTGGGAGCAGAAATAAAGAAGCGGAGCTAAATAATGGCCGTGGCCAACGGCGGCGTACATCAGTCCACCAAAGCCACCAAGCGAACCCTCACAGCGATGTTAGTAAAAGCACATTCACACGAGCTGGAGGGAGTAGTGAAAAAAGCAGAGCCTGGTCATGGGGATACACTGTCAGAAGCTCCCAGTCCTGTCGCCTAACAGGCCAAGCAAACTCGTCAGATGGGTGATCAGAAAACAGAGCCACCATTTGTAGAACAAAGTATTGCGTACATCAGCATCTTGAGTTTACACACGTGCACACGGCACGCGCACACGCACGCGAACGCACATAGGCATGTAAATACCGTGCACATGCACTCAGCCCAGACATCTGCGGGCGTGACGTGCACGGCGGCGCAGCGTGCGGCAGGGGAGCACGGCCACGCTGAGCCAATGGGCGGTCGTCAGTGCTCAGATGACCAGCGGGGCGGGTGCGCTGGGCCGGGTCAGGGCGAGTCGAGTCTGGACCGAGGGCTGGGGTGGGGCGAGACATTCTGTTGAGTAATGTTGTATTTGCCTTGCTATTCGTCGCGTTAAAATGTCACGCACTACATCAAGCTGTTGTATTTAGCTGAGACATGAGCGGACGTGGAGTTGGACGAAGAAACATTATTATGTTATATTGTGAGATCGCATTTTGGTGACGAGATCCGTCGGCTTTAAAGGAATGTTCTACATTTGAAGATGTTGAGGCAAGCATAAATAGATCAAAAGCAGTGCCCCACTTTCGTAGCATATCTCAAAAACACACTGTAGGGAAATCTCAGAACTAATTATGTCAAGTAACAGCACTGGATGGTGTTAGGGCAGCACCGTCAAGACATAATGAGGAAATCAATCATAATTACTTTCGGGTAACGCTATTAACGCGTTGCAACACCAATGTGCCTTTTCCCTGCAATCGCGATCACCGGCGTCATGATTCTCCCCTGCAGTCGGAACCAGCGCTGTCCTGGCAATTACCGTGCCGTTGTCCTGGCAATTCATACCGCACCTCTACTGGTGCGAATGAAACAACAGTTGTGATCGACCCAGCGGGCATGGGCCTGTTACCGTGAGACGCATTGGCTGAAGCTTGCTCAACGTTTGAAGCTCATCATCGGTTTTTCCAAGGAAGTCTTCTAACCTCCAAGTATGAAGCTAGATAGGTGCGGGGTTCATATATTTAGTTAGATCAAGCATGACACAAGTGGTTTACATGTGAGGGTGCATTAATTTCGATACGCGTGTCTGACGATTACCTCCCCAGATAAAACGGCAATGGTAAGAATGCGGCAACCGTAAGGTGTTGTACAGTAATACAAGTTCTCTCGCCAGAACTTATCGTCTTCGGTAAAACTGAAACGATGTATTTGACACGCTAAGGCATAGGTTGTCTGAATCAAAACGCAGCTCGTTTTTGGTTCCTGGCTCCATTGTCATAATACGGCTGTCCGCCATTAACCAAATGACATAACAACTGAGTAATATACAGCATCCTGATCAGCTTTTAACTGATATCAGTAATAGCTGTTTGCAACTTAGTCATAATTTATATGAAGTAGAGATAAGGGAGAGCTCAGTATGACACGTGGCGTTTCACGATTGATGTGCTTCTGGCTAAAATGTTCATAACTTCCCGATCCCGAACAGCTTAATACGTTGATATGTGTTGGTGAAATACCTCATGAGTACCTGATTGTAAGTTTTGCCTGGAAAGTCAGTTTATATATATATATATATATATATGTATATGTATATATATATATATATATATGTATATATATATATGTATATATTTATTTATTTATATGTAGTCAGTTTATATATATATACGTATGTATATATATATATATATATATATATATATATATATGTATTAGGCAGCATGCTTTCACTAACGTAATTTTGCCGGATTGTTCGA